GGAAATTCATATTATTAACTGACCTATAATGCAACTCACTTAAACGGACAACATATCTTTAGATAAATCGCTAAAATAAATGAGTTGGCTTAAGATTTGAAGACTGAAAATTGTAGGGCTTTACCCTGAAGGGAGCCCTTCCAGAAATTCTCTAAGGCCAGGGCTTAACCAAGGCCGAAGAGGGGGTTTGGAAATAGTTTTCAACCAGCAATAGACGCGCCTCGGTTAGAACCTCATTAGCTGCGTCATTGCCCCAAGCGCAAAGATGTCTTAAACTAGTGTATGCCCTCGCATTTTATAATAGATGCAAGGAATCTCTCCCTATTCACCTACCGATGTGGGATTGTTTTCAATTTGGCATTTAAAAGGTAATCACATCATGATAACATCATAAAAGGATTCTCCATGATAACACTCAAGTAAACAATCACCAGTTTACTCTTATTTTCAGATATGTGATTCGAATTTGATTGCGAGTTTCGAATATATTTATATGTCGGTCTTAGATATGGATCAGATTAACAAAACTCAACTGTGATTTCTTAATGTTTATAAGGATGAAATTCATTATTGAACCCACGTATATTAAATGTTAAATTTTAAAAGAGATTCGAATTTAAAAGAGAATTTGATTTTAAAGGAAAATAGAAAATAACAATGAAAGCTTGCAGGGAACGTAGATCCAGCTCTCTCGGTCATTTGGTGGATCAAGCATCGGTTTCGCACCATTCTTGCAGTGCTGGTGTTTCAATTCCTATGTTCTTCATGTCATTCATATTGGCTGGTTCACAAAATAGTTTAAAAGTCTCTATATTAGGGTCGGGATATGTATTTAAGCTCAAAATCTCATATGATATTCCAAAGAATTTGGATAAAAACATTTTAATCTCGAACAATTATCTAATATAAATAAGATGTAATTTGTTTCATAAATAGAATTAGTTTTTACTTAAAGTCGAACATACCGTCATGTATGTCAAGAGTAGCAGCAGCTGTGGCATCAACAATAACAATAACGGATTTGAAATCAAATGACACTGCATCAAACACGGTTTGTCTAATGCAGTTTGGAGTTTGAATACCTACATATGTATCGTATCAAATTTGACAAATTTAACCGTTTCAGTTAAGTAATAACGGATTTAATAAACTAATTTCATAATCGAGGAAGGAGTTACGATCAAACAATATAAGGTATAAAGACTTATTAAACATTTAAATCTAAAAACTGAGGAAATTAAATATTTTATTTAATTAATATTTAAACTGATAAAAAAAATTAAAATATTATTACAACAAAATATTTGGGGCATATCGTTACTCTCCGGTAAATAGCTTCGTCATTGCCCATCACTTTTAAAGAGTGAAATGGTATTTTAGCCCAAATACATCATTATTACTTTGATATCTATTCTTTTATTCATTTGACTTTTAAAATTTTCAATTATGGTGTATATTGTCCCAATTCATTTTTTCTATTTTTGTTATAAAAAATTCTTGTCATTTTAAGAACGTATCACGTAACATAATACATATTAAATTTGAAAAACTTTATGAGAGTCTATAAAATAAATTTTAAAAATAAAAAATTATTTTTAAAAAATATAAAGAAAATGTAAGTACTTTTATCGGAGTTTTTTTTTAATAGATTTTCTAATAATTATTTTAAATTTAGATTTTACATATTATACGTCACACGATACGTTCTTAGAATATCTTGCTATTTTTCTTAAAACAAAAAAATGAGTTAAGGTAATGGGCGTATTAGTAAAAGGTTCAAAGGTTAAATTCAATAAAATACTTTTTCACCTAAAAAATGATAATAAAATGCAATTATAAAAATTAAAATATCTTTTAATGGAGAAAGTCTTAAAAAGGGTAACCTAGTTTAAAGTTTAGAATCGACGGAAATCGAACGGGATCGAAAATGTTATTAAAAATCATTATATTTTAAGATCAACTTAAAATGTTACGAAGAATATAATATTTTCGGTTGTCAACCGAAAATGTTTTGAAAAATATAAAATTTTATATTGTAACCGAAAAAACATAATATATTCGATTACAAGCTAAAAATGTTATGAAAAAGATAACATTTTCGATTGTAAACCAAAAATATTGTTGCAATCGAAAATATTATAAATAATATAATATTTTATGTCGTATCCACCATAAAATGTTATGTGCCGTTGAAATTAAAATTACCCCATTTTATAGTATTTTAAATTAATGTTACGTCATTTAATTTAAAAAAATCATTTAAAAAAATAAAAGTCCGTACCAACAACCACTAGATTTTCGATCCCTGAAGTGTGAAGAAAAGAATGAAGATGGGTAGCAAAGAAAGCACTGAAACGAGTCTTCAGCAACTTATAATCTCCTTGCTTTACCACCAGCCCATCTACCAGTTCTGCACCCACACTTCCCTTTATGGCCGGGCCTTCTTTTCCAGCAGAGTAATAATGACGACGAAACAGTTCCACGTCTCTTCCTAGATAGTCATTTTCACGAACAACCTAACACCAAAAAGCTTTTTCCTCACACACGCATTTTTACAAACACCGTAGCTGCATACTGCTTTTAAAAGTCCAGTTTTTAAATCTCGATTCGAATTGACATGAAACCTACTCTATCGATAACTTGGATTTAAAATAAATTAAATTTAAAAACGCCCAGTGCAACTAACAAAAAACTTACCCAACCAATGAGAACGCCACGTTCCCTGGCGATTTCTACAACTTTGATAACATTAGACTACGGCTTCGCCACCATTCACCCTTGTCGGTCTTTCTTCGAGAATAAAATCATTCTATAGAAAATACAAAAACACCCAAATACATTTAATCATTCAAATAAAAAAAAAAGGTGATCTTATTGATGTATTTCTGCTTTGCCGAATGTTTTTGATAGAGATTTCGTCTTCTGATTTCATTCACAGATAAAGACCACTATGAGATTGAAATTTAGGAATTCTGATCTAATTCTACTTTGAATATGATTTATATTGATCTGACAGTGAAAGAATAATCCGATAACGACACAACATTAAAATATAACTAAATCTGTTCGACCCAAAAAAATATTAATAAAAGACATTAATATCTATATAATTATAATTACAAAATAAGAACAGAATATTTTAAGAAAATATCGACAAGACCGGACAAATTTCACTTAAATCTAACTTTGACCTGACCCTTAAAAGTTTTAATAAAATATCAATCTCGACCAGAATCTGAACACCGTTAGGGTCAGTTAAATTGCGATCCATATTTGTGGAAAAATATATAAAATAAGACTTAAATATACAAAAAAGTATCTTATCTATATTCGTTTTTCAGTTTAGTGTCTAACGTTTATTTCGTTTTAGTTTGATGTTTAATGTTTCATTTCGTTACTCAAAATGAGTCATATCATGACGGACTGTTAGTTTTCTCCGTTATCAAATTGTGACATGTTCTCCATTAAGTGATACATGTCACAATCTGATAATGGATAAAACTAACAATCCGTCATGACTTGATCTATTTTGAGAAACGGAATGAAACATTAGACACCAGACTAAAACGAAATAAACATTAGACACTAAACTAGAAAAATAAGTATAGGTTAGACACTTTTATATATTTAAGCCCATTAAATAACAAGGATAAAGAAGAGGGAGAAAGAAGGCAGTTGCCTGCATGTCAACTACTAGTAGAGCCGTTTGCTTCCATTTGTCTGCCGTTGTGTCTCTGTGAAAAGAGCTTAGTGAATTACTGTTATTTGGACTGCTATAACAAAATGGCATCCAATAAATAAACATATGAGGTCAATAAAATAGGTAAAATCATTATGCTTTTTTGGTGTTCTATCACTTTCAATCATCAATGACTTCCCAGTTTTGGCTAAAAACAATCAAAACCCCATGTCGTAGGGGGTGTGCGGCGGGGTGAGGGGGAGGGGGGCAAGAAGCATGGTCTTGATGCGCAATCGGACAAGAAGCCAGCGGCATGGAATTAGGGATAGGAATTTGAAGTTTTTTGTAATTTCAAAGAATTTGAGTTTTTTAATATCAATATTTTAAAATCTTTTAAAAAAAATTCAAAAATATAAACCCAACATATAACCGTCTTTTTTAATGACCATTATTGCATATACACTTAAAAGAATAAAGAACATTACAACTACTTTGAGTGAAAAAAATCTTTAGCACTTAATATGACCAAAGATATAGTTTAAACACTTATTTTCTTCATTATGCAAAAAAAAAAAAGTACAAGCATTGCATCATCCACTAAGATAAGTTTGAAGTTTGAATTTCAACTTTTTTTTTCTTCCAAGCTAAGACCATTTTTCTTAAATATATATAAAAGACCAATATGATCCAAGCAAACTTAAAAACTCTTTGCATTGCATCATTCAATAAAACACTAAAGAAAAAAGAAAACCCCACAAGAACATCCAGTAGAATCTCCCCTTCCGGCAACACCACTGATTATCTGGCAATACACTTGATCCAATCACCTCTTTTTCCAACATAGACCACAGCGCATTTCGGACCAGGCAAGCAACCATCGGATTGCTCGCCAATGCTTTGCTCTTGAAAGTCGTCTAATAAGACGGCTAATACAGTACCAGGTAAAGGACTAATCAAGAACATATTCTGGAGAATACAACTATTGCAAACCCAACAAGGCAAATAGTGTGTTGTCTGCACACTTCATGGCAACATGGCAGAAGATGAGGACCCCGAAATTGGGTCGAAAGGGTTGTGATTCAAGACCCCTGTGAATCATATGAATTAGTTTCACAAACCCAGAAAGAAGATCGTGTTAGAAAATCTTAATGGAAATAAATACAAAACACTTACCGGTTCAAGTTTAGATTTTCTAAGAACCTGAGGATGATTTCTGAACCCACACTTGTTTCTGCAAGTCGATAGAGAAAAGAACATATGAACCAAAGGTGAACGAAAAGATGACAGATTCTGCTGCTGATTCATCATAGAATCAGCTCACCTCATGGGCTCCGGAGCTTGTAGCACCTCCTCTTTTGGAAGGCTTGCCCTCACTTGATATGATAGATCCATCATCTTTAATATTATGGGTAGCTGTGCCCCGACCAAATTGCCAATTGGAACCTGCATGAATGAGATCATCAATAAGACAATTCTAGTTCTGCTGTGTGTGACAGCAGTACTGAACCAATCAATTATGGATAGACTAAAAACATTTTTATAATGGAATATTACACCCGATGCTTCCATTAGCCAAGTCACATTTCATTTCTCCTTGGGTAACTAGAAGATCATAGGCAGAAAATGAGGTAAATTAGCTTCCCTCATTTCTTGGAAATTCAATAGAACAACGTGATATAAGAACTGTATCCAAAATCCATCCACACTTGCAAACACCAGATATTCATGTGAATAAGCATTAATACCTTCCATGGAACTGCGAGAAGAGACGGGGGGGTGTCAGACGCTCTTCACTAGATTGTGAAAAATCAGAACGATTAAGAGGGGCCCATACACCACGATCAGGTCTATCTTTATTTCTTGTACGTTTTTCATGCTTCTCGCTTCCAGAACCTGAACCATGAAGTTCCTTTTTGATGAACTTATCATCTGAAACTCTTTTAGTATCACCATCAGATTTCAATGCAGGCATTTCATTAGGAACATGACCATTCATACCCAATCGTGGATTAGTTGGCTGGGGAGGTTTTTTGACAGTGTCTGGACTCATGGCTTGAGTTTTCTGCTGAGGCTGGACTGCTGCTGAAGATTGATTTTGGCCTGCTTCGTTTCTCAAAAGTATGCTCCTTATTAACTTTCCACCGGCCTTGCGTCTTTGACCCTGTCTTGAAGCAGTTGAACCAGGTGTATTTGCTGCAGGAGATGATACACCCTCGGGCACCTGGGAATTTAGAAAAAGAAAACATAATTTGCATACGAAAAATTGAAAGAACCAATTCAAAAATCCACTCAATAATTAAATATAAAACGATACCCATCCCAGTACTATGTTGCTCGGACTTTTCATTTTTCATGAAAAATCTAACCATGCCCATGTCCGACACTTGAACCCGAGTCCAACTAACATAGTCCCAGTATATATAAAACTTAAATATATAATGGACACCATGAATGAGCAGAAATGAGACAAACTAAAGGCACATATCTTACATTAGGAGCCTCTCGGTCTTTTTGTTTAAGGAGAAGGATCTTTTTCTTGCCAGAGTCGGCAGCAAAAGTAATTCCAGTTACAGGACCATCAATGCCACAGACTGCAAGCAACTTATTATTAAGCAAAGATATGGGGAAAGGAAATACAGTGAAAAAAAAAGAAAAACTAAGAACCAAAACAACCCATATTTAATCTATTACAACTTCCAGTCAAATGAAGAAAATTCAAACCAAAGTTCAGAGAGAATAAACCATCAATTTAAACACGCACACATATGCACACACGATCAAAACTGAGTGCAAATAGAATGGCAAGGGGCTCTAGCTCTTATTCCAGTATAATAAATGATTATAAGAAAACAAAAGGTCAGCATTATTCACACCTTCACCGAGCAGCATCAAATATAGCGATGAGTTGTATTCTAAAGCATGAACTCAGGTTGACCTAAAGCTCTCCATCATGGGGGTTCCATTAAACAAAATTTCAATGTATTCCTTTTTTATGGCACTATAAGTAACTAGCAGCAGCATATCGGTATTACATGAGTCAGTTACATCTATAAAATGACATATAATGTCCCTGATCGCCAAGTAACAACAGAAGGATCATCACAGCTAACTTAAATGCAGAATAACAGGTGGCATTATGAAGGTCTACTGTTGTATTAATGAAATATCAATAAAATGAGGTACTCTTTTTCTCCTTCCGCTAGTTGTCCCTTTCCTTTTGGTAAGGGTCAATTATGAAGGGGTTTTTAATGAGACCTCCAATTCTTATAAAAAAAAACAGGTGGCATTGGCATGATAGGTAAAGACTAAAGAGTACAAAAGTCTTTTTTCAGAAACATATTCAAATAGCTTCGCAATAAAACACATTCATGACAACAAGCTAAGCTTCCACGTTAACCATTTAATGAGATGGCTATTGGCGCAACGTATGAGGTTCATATTTACAGACGACTTTGAAGTTGAACACTCAGAGATTGATACGCACAAGAACAGCAGGAGTCATTTTTATGTGCAAAAAACTATAAATCACTAGGTTTTCTCGCCATAAATGTATTATGTATCTTGCAAATATTCACAGAGATAACACTAACAAGTCGGTATAAATGCTGACAAAGCTCTATGTGGATCATAACCTCTGCTAATACTGTTTAAACCCTCACCAGTTCCATTCTCTCTTATTTCTTTTGTGACAGAAGTCATTGATTGATCCTCTTGCTTGGATGCTACAAAAAAATTGGACTTTTTCGCACTTTTTGCGCTGTCTTTTAGAATATACTGTCAATCAAACAAGTTATATCAAATGAGAAAATAACAAACTAAACCACTTGAAAAATTGGATATGCACTCAGAGTAACACAAGATCATGGGAAAGGATCATTGAGAATTGCTTTATATGAAAGAGGCAATGAATATGATATCTAAGAATATCAAAACTTCATGCAAAATTTGATCCAACAATTTGTAAAATATTAAAAGCATCCTCCAAGAGTTCACCTAAAGATAGCACCCTACAGGTATTTACGAAGAAATTTGAAAGTGCTTCAAATTTCAGAAACCAGACTATTTAGACATCTTATTTGACCACAAGTGCCTCACTAAGGTGCATGCAAAACAAAAGCTAGAATGTCCGTTTGTTTCACGTAAAACGTTTTCCGGAAAATGTTTTCCTCATTTTCCAGTGTTTGCTTGGAGGAAAATTGGTTGGTCAACGTAAAACATTTTTCTGGTTAACAGAATTTCCTTTGTGTTTTCTGGAAAATGACTTACGATCTGATTTTCCGTAAGTCATTTTCCGAACTTTTCACTTCAAAGAATAAATACTCAAAATAAATTTATTTTATGAATTTAATATTAAAAAAATATTTTAATATCATTTTAATCAAAATATTAATTATTAAAATATTTAAAATATATTTATTAATATTTCTAATAATATAATATATTTTAATATTATAATAACCAATTATATTATAATATATATGAGATATTATATTATAATAATATATAATAAATTATTATTAAAATTTATATTATTTATTAATTTTATAGAAATAATATTATTAAAATTTTAATAATGAATAATATTATTTATATATTTAATATTAATATAATAATCTAATAATATTTTAATAAAGATATTTAAAATATACTAATTAATATTTTTAAAATATAATAAAACACTATTACTTCAATAAATAATTAATATAATTTATAATATATTTATTTCAATAAAATATAACAATATTAATATCTTTATTAATAAAATTATAAAAAATAACATTTTAATAATAAATACATTATTTTAATATTTTAAAAATAATAATATTAAGTTTTATGATAAATAATATTATTTATTGTATTTAATATTTGTAATAAATAATTTTAAAAAAATTCATCAACTAGTGGAAAAAGGGTTTAAATATCTTCCAAACATCGTAAAACGTTTTCCAGAAAATGTTTTTTCAGAAAATGTAATTCATTTTACGGAAAACGTTTTCAGTGAAACAAACGGACACAATATCAACTAAGAACAGAATTATAAAGCAGATGATCCAGATAAGCAGAAACTATGCTTTTGTACAAATAAAACGCCACCGATTCACCAGAACGGTGAGTTTATAAGAGAGGTCCACAATGCAAAGATCCTATTATCCAAGTACAAATTACCATATGCTCAAATATCCAGCAATAAAATACATAAGAAAGCTATTGAATTAGATACCTTTTTCTTCTCAGAGCTCTTGCTACTTGATCCAGACTTGCCAGCCATTTTTCTGCCATTCTTTCTTGTTGTTATTGACCCCTGTCAACAAAACAAACTAAAACGTGGTCACGGAAGGACTGCTTATTGATTCATTTTTGTTTCTTTTTCCTTTTTTCTGGGCCACAATTTTAAACATAAGAATCCCAAGGAAATAGTGACACATGGAAGCATTACTTAACATAATAGACTGCAGCATGTGTGACAGACATTTTGTGGACAATTCTGGTCACATTGGATTATAATAATTCAAATGGAACTTTAAAAGGAAACCATGCAACTACGATCAACAATATGCCCATCATATTTTAATAAAGTTGGATCACATAGATGCAAGCTCAGCGAGCTAAAAATATCAAAATAAGTAAATGCAAAATTGAAAGCACGATGACTTAAGGCCATATAATCAGGGGACAGAGCAACATCATGATACGAAATGCAGCTTTTCCAGGGTAAAGTACCTGAGTTCCACTCTTGGCAGCTCGCTTCTGACGCACAAATTCCATTAGTGGTGTAACAACAGGAGTTTCCTTGGGAGCACCTAAAAAAGAATAAAGCGGGCCAACCACATTCGTATTAGGGTGACAAAAAATCATAACTAGTGTTCACAGTTTTGTATTCCTTTTATCACAACAAACCAGATAGTTCAGCTTCTTTCCTCTCCAACTGAATCTCAGCACTAGGAAGATTCTCAACAGGTTTTGCAATCAATTTGAGAAATTCCAGATAATCAGGATCTAGTTTCATAAAAGAAAAAGAAGATTTAGCACAATATAGCAAGCTATAACTGACACTTCAATGTTAGTTCAAAAGGCTTCCATTAAATAATATGCCTAACAATGAACTCCGTTTTTTTTCAAAATAATGCACCTTTGAAAATGGTCCCTTCACGACCATCCTTTTTAGTGCTAGGCTTCGGTACTCGCTGTGAAGGAGCATATTCAACAATGGCCTTAAATTGAGTACCTGAAATAAGGGGAATCAAAATGAAAAATTAGGATAGAAGGGCCAACGGGTAAATTAAACTCAGAGACAAAAAAATTAACATATTGCAATCAAATTGAACAAATGCAAACAGTTGTATTTCACATATTTAGAAAGAATCCTATAAGCTGTCCTCTAAAACAAGAAAAAATGTGTCCGCAGTTTATAAGTCATAAAGAATCAGACATTTTAAACCTAAGTACCCTTCTCATTAACAAATACATGTCCGTCAAAGAACTCAGCAAACTCAAATACATCTTCCGGTCTCTTGAAGTTTATGTAAGCTCGAGAGTAGCTCTGTTGCTTATGGCTGCAAAGTAAGAACAAAAAAGAAAAAGATCCTAAGGATCAAAAGATGGAGTATAATGAAAACATAAATAAATAAAAGCATGTTCAAAAGAAATTATCAATAGAACTTCCAATACTTTCTTCACTTTCCATAACTTTCTATCATATCTTAGTTAAATCACATGTTCTTTCCCAAGCTTTCTAATATGACTAGCATTTGAATTGCAAATTATGATAATTTCTTTAAGTTTCATGCAGTTCTCCATTAAGCAAAGAAGCAAAACATCATTAAGAGAACCATATTCATGGCAAAACAAATACATTTTTAAAAAACTTGGCTCTCAAATTTTACTTTCAACTATTCTTCCAACCTAGCTTTTTTTTAACTCCAGAAGCTAAAGAACAATAATTTCTAAACCCCTTTCAAAAGCATAAATAAGAAACTCAACAGTGCAATCACAAATTCTGCTCCTTTTGATACCCTAGGAACTAAATTACAAAAACATGATGCAAACTAAATATAGAAAATTAAAGGGATATCAGAAATTGGGGGAGTAGAGATTAAAAATACGAAACCCTAACCTGGACTTGCCGAGACGGAAGGAGAACCAATTGTAACGATCAGAGAAACGTTCGTCGATTTGAGAAAAGAAAAACGATTGGGTAACTGACGGCGGAAAATGCCTTATCACCACTTTCGTTTTATGCAGCGGTTCCTTCATCTCGATTTTCTCTCTTCCCTCAAATTCTTCGTAAGGGATTCAATTTTCCAGTTTCGTAAAGAGTTCCATGTTCTCTTTTTCCAAGAAGTATTTTTCTTTTCCCTTTTTATAAATTTGTATTTTATTATGAAAATACTTAAAATTAATAACTGATTTATAGATAATCTTTAATAAAAAAATGTTTATGTATCCTAAATTATTTTATTATGAATTAATAGTGTTTCTTTTATTTATTTTTAAAAGTATTTATATTTAGTTTGTATTTGTTTAAATTTTTAATATTATATTTGTATACATTTATTTATTTTGAAGGTGTTCATATCCGATTCGTTTAGTATTTCTAATCATGTTTATTTAATGTTCACTATATGTCCGTTTAAATGTTCGTAAATATGTTCGTTTACATGTTCCTTTATTCGCACGAACCCTAGTAACCTCAGTGATAAATGAATTGTTGTTATTCTTTGAGGTATTGGGTTCGAACACTAGAAATGTCAAGGGTACAAGCTTTCAATGTAAAAAAGGTTGATAGTTATCTTTGAACAGATACTATCTTTTACCAATAAACGAGTTTACTCGTGAACATAAATAAACCGAACATACATATATGCGTATTCATTTATTTAATAAGTGAACATAAAAATTTTATTCATGTATGTTTATTTAATTTAATAAATAAACATAAACAAATGTTATACAAACAGTTCACGAACAATTTATTGAACGCGATGTTCATTTACACCCTTAATTGCCAATTTATTTTCGGTGCCTTTGTTTTGACTACTCTCCTGCATAAAATGACTATATTCATCATCTATGTATGATCATTGTGTTTTATTTTTATTTCTTTCAATGCTGTGGTTCTTAATGTTAAACGACTTTAATAAGTGAGTCTTAGGCTCTGCTTGGTATGAAGATGGAAATAAGTGAGAATGTTTTTTTTCCCTATGCTTAAACTACAAAACAAGAAAGTGATTATAAATTATCATCAATATATTTGTATACGATTAAAATTTATATATCAAATTATATATTTTATCAAATTCATATATATTTTGATATTTATCTACTTATTAATATATCTATTTATTTATATTTATATTTATATTTTCATTAAAAAATTAAAACTCAATTGACATATGTGTTGATTTGATATTTAAACAATTTATTAAATTGATGATATAGTATTTATCGGTCAAAATATTTACATCTTTAAATATCATATATCCCAATTTGATTAATTGTTGAAATTCAAGTATTTCATGGACCTCCGGAAAAAGTCTTATCATTTCATCAAGATATTGTAATACTTTTAGTTTTAGCCAATTCTGATTTATTAAGTTAATCTAACTCTCTTTTTCATAATATATATACACACACCTATTTAAAGTTTTTAATATTTAAATATAATAAAATAATAAAATTAATTTTCTTTTATTTTAAATGTTTTTAATCTTCTCTATCAATAATTTCTAGAACATGTTAAAAGTTATTAGTTGACGCCTCTTCTTCTTTAGATTGTGGATCCAATATCGATTAGTAATAAAATTGCATTTCCCCTTTTTATTCTCTAAATAGAAATTTATTAAAAGAAAAGTCTTTAATCTCAACTTTATTTGAAATTCATGTGGCTAAAATTGTGTAGCCACATGATGATGGATTAAAAAATCATCAACACAATCACCATAGTTGGATATGTCGAAAATCAAAGTTTGACCGAGAAAGTATTGATGTTGTGCTCTTTGCATTTCATTTTGCCTCATAAGCTCCAAAACTTTCCTATGCGAATTTGAATGCTTTGTGGACATAAATGTCGGATTTGTTGTCGATATTCAGGTACCAACCGATCTGAATTATACCTCACCCCGCACACGTTACATAATGTTTTCGGACCCATCGGTCCAGTTCTCCATTGTGGTGTTTTTTCTGACGCACAATGTAAACATTTCTACATGTCAACGATTTCAAATTTGGTTAACAAGTACATACAAAAGTACACTATGAAAAACAACTAAAACAACCTTGTACACTATACCTTGGACACTTTCTAAAGTGAGCAATTATAATCTATCAATTACTCATGGAAAATAGTACACCAAAAAATATAAACAATATCACAAACTTGTACATACAAGCTTCACACTTGGTCTTCCTCAACCTTTCCTCCACCTTCAACAATTTTGAACCATCACTTACATAACAATCTCTTTTGCATTTCAGCAATACTTGAGCAACCTTCAACTCTCGATTCTCTCTTAACATGTTATTTTTTGTCATAATTTCGAGAAGAACGTCCTTTTCATATTTGTCTACAACATATTCATCGATCCAACGAAAGAAGTTACATCCATTCTCCTGCATCACATTTCATAAAGTCCAGTTAAAACAAAAGAATTAACATTGAACCAATATGGACAACCAAATAATAAATCATTATCACAATTTTCAGAATAGTTAACATGAAGAAGAACTAACCTCGAACCAATTTGGGCAATCAAAGAATGACTGACCTTTGCTTAATTATTTTCTAGAAGTACGAATTATAACTTTCTTTCCACAATCTCAAAAAATTTCTCGACAGTTTCTTTCCTTTGAATTTGAAGAATATGATGACATTCTTTAAAACAATATAATAAAAACAAATTCAAAGCGAATAAGCAAAAATCCAAATGAAATCGAAAAGAACCCAATAAACAAATTCGTGAAAATACACAAATGAAGAACCCTAAAAACAAATTCGTGAAAATACACAAATAAAGAACCCTAAAAATAAATTCATGAAAATATCCAAATAAAGAATCCTAGAAACAAATTCGTCAAAATACTCAAATGAAATCGAAAAGAACACTTGTTTACCTAAATTTTCATAACACAAGCCTTGAAATGATTTCTAATAGGGGGAAATGCAATCCTCAGTTTTTTTCTAAAGAAAGCCTGTTGCAAGTAGGGGGAAAAGGAGAACGTTTAATCCACGTGGAAAATAGGAGGGAAATAGATAAAAATTAATAATAATTCGCCATATGTTAGATTGTTTGTGGTCATAGTGTCCCACGTCATCTTCCATGACGGAAATTGGTGTACTCGTTAATGGCAGAAAATACCATGTATTTAATTCTAATTTTAAAACATTATGTATGAAACTGAGAATTGGATATAATTCATGTATGAATGAGGTAATTAATAAAAAAAATCTATAATCAAACTTAAATTGATTTGAACCTGATAATGCATCGATTTCATTTGGTTCAATTTTACTCTCTTTTTTCTACAGATAAACAAATTTTACAATCATCTAAGAATAATAATGGAACTTGAGACTCGACTTTAGGGTGTAAATTATTATTCTTATATAAATTCATATAGCATGTGTATATATAATGTAAAACTTTGATTATTATTTCTTTCATAATATTTCTTAAATAAAGATAGACATCGACATTTATAAATATTGACCCATTATGTTGTAGGAAAACACATATTTAGATAAATAATATTAGAGAAATCGAATAAACGTTGTTATTTTTATTTTTTTGTTAACGTTTAAAAAAGAAATATTTTTTATTAATGTAATTAATTTTTTTTAATAGGTGAGTGGGGACTAATGAGCACGTGACAAAGGAGTTGGAGCCATTAGTTATCATGTGACTTTATTTTTTTCTAAAGCTTTAAATAAGCAGTGTGAAGCTAAACTCCACAATACTTAAATTATTTTTTTTTATAAATTTGAAATGATTATAAAATAATATTTTTTTATAAATAATTGATATCTCACGTCACCTGTAAATAAAATTGTTCAAAATAAAATCATCTATAAAAAATAACAATTTATTTTATCATTTAAATAATTCAATAAATTCGTAACTTTATTTTTTTGAAACAATTCTTGCCTAGAAAGAGAGCAAAAGAGAATTTTACTCCTAACGTACACCTAAGTGAAGAAAAATATCAATTGATAACTTTTAATCACGTTCTAATTGTTGATCACTTTTCTTTTAGAGAAAATAACTTCAGTGACCAAAAATGTCTTATAATATACGATTTTAATCATTTTTTTTAGATTTGTCAAAATGACCAACTAAATCGCAATGCGATCGATAATTCGCAACGCGATCCCCGGTATCGCAAATTAGTTTCCAGATTCGCAACGCGAACTTCGACTATCGCATTGCGATTTACATATTCGCATTGTGATAGTCTAAGTTCGCGTTGCGATTTTCCAAATTCGTTGCGATAGTCCAAGTTCGCGTTGCGATTTATTCCAAATTTATTGCGATAGTCCAAGTTCGCATTGCGATTTATTACAAATTCGTTGCGATAGTCCAAGTTCGTTGCAATAGTCGAAGTTCGTGTTGCGATTTTTTCCAAATTCGTTGCGATAGTCCAAAATCGCAACTACTGGTGGTATTGCATTTGTTTCTTAAAAATTTTCTCTAAAAATATAGTATTTGCGCGAACGTGTCGAAGACACGTATTACCACGACCACGACCACGACCACGAGACGGACGGCGGCGGCGGCGGCGCGCGAGAGTCCCCCTTGTTCTCTATCACTCAATAAGGAAGTGGGAAAGCCAAACATTAAATATATCATTCCCAATAGTGTTTCCAATACTATGTGGGATTGAGCATTACCAACAATTGTTTCCAATACTATGTGATTATTCAGGAAACAATTAACAATCATGCACCTTAAAACAACTGAATCAGCAACCAATTGCATTAGTATTATACGATTAAATATGTCATAATTAAAAATCAATCTACAATCAATCGCGATTATTGCAATTTTAAGCAAAACATTCAAAAAATATTGCATCACTCGCGAGAATAAAAAAAATTGTTATCGTGCAATTACAATCAATTGAAAATAAATTAGAATTGCATGAAAACTAAACGAACCACAAATACTTTTCATACAAATACTAAAGTCATTAACTATAATTTACAAATAATATCACTATTTAATGCTCAATCTCACATAGTATTGGGAACAAGTGTTGGTAATGCTTAATCCCACATAGTATTGGAAACACTATTGGGAATGGTATTTAAGGCTTAACTTTCTCACTTTCTTG